GAGATGGGGGACGGGGAGTGACGTTATAATGGCAAGGGAGCGTTTCCGTGAAAAAAGGGCTCTTACAGATCCACCAGTCCAGCCCTCACTTCAGGGATGCGCGGGAGCCATGAGGACAGGGATGCTGCAACCCTGGCGAAGCAGGATGGAGGACGGAGGACGACGAGCACTGGCGGCAGCCACCTTCGTGCAGCCTCGCCTGCGTACGCTGAGACACGGGGACCACTGGCATTTGCGAGGAAGGAAGGTGGCCTCTGGGGCTCTGGGCCTTCCTCCGTGCACTTCTTGGGATTTAGAGGCTGCCAAAGGTATCACCAAAAAAAGTGTAGAGATCACCAGGCACGGGGGCTCATGCTTGTAATCCCAGCACTCTGAGAGGAGAAGCAGGAGGATCGCTGGAACCCAGAAGACTGAGACCAGCTTGGGTAACATAATGAGACCTCGTCTCCACAAAATACAAAAATAAAAAGCAGGGCGTACCACACCGTAGTACCAGCTACCTGTGAGGCTGAGACAAGGATCGCCTGAGTCCAGCAGGTGGAGACTGCAGTAGCCATGATCGTTCCACTGCACTCCAGACTGGGTGACAGAGTGAGATTCCGACTCAGAAAAAAGTGTAGAGGTGAGCTGACAGGATTTAAAAGCTGCAGGAGAGGCTGGAGACCAGTTAGTGTCTACACACTCTATACACACACACACACACACACTGGTTATTTCAAGGAGCAATTTCTGCAAAAATAAAAAGTAAACAATAAACCAAACAAGGTGACCCAACAGGTGAAAGATGTACACTAATTCCCAGTCATGAAGTTATGTGGTAGCCCTGCCTGGCTCTCCTGAGTATTTCATTTTCTGGAAGATCTCCATTCCTTTGAGCATTACATAAGACATTTCCTGTTTTCTAACTAGGTTATAGGGCAAGGGTTCAGGGAATTTTTTTTCTCAGTTTTGTTATTTGTTCAGAAACTAAGAAAAAGGAAACTGAAAGGAAATTATTATAACACATTAATTCTCTTTACAAATTCACAGCCACACAAAAGTATCCCCAAGTTAACGTATAAAGTGTCTGCTCTATGTGACAGGATAAAGAAAGCCAGGACTGCATCCCATTCTCCAGGGTCCTGCCCGATGACTGGTTAACATTATAGACAAATCATAGTTGCTAGTATTATGGAGCTCTTACTATATTCTGGTATGTGGTAAGCATTTCACAAGTCCAGTCCCATTTAATTCTCACAACTTGATGAAGCAGGTACAGTAGGTATCCCTGTTTACAGAGAAGTTGCTCACGAAAGTTCACACACCAGCAAGCAGTAGAGCCAACATTATGCACCCAGACAGTCTGACTTCAAAGCCTGAGTAGCTTCCCTAAAATCAGTCAGTTAAGTGACAGACTGCAGCTTGAGTTTAGGTGCTCTGTCTTCAATTCCTACTGTACCTCTGTTCCAGCTGTTCTCAAATTTTGGGGACTCAGGACCCCTTTACCACTCTAATGATTGAGGACCCTAAAGACTATTGTTTATGTAGGTTATATTTATCACTATTTGCTGTACTACAAATTAAAATTGAGAAATTTAATTATCTATTCACTTAAAGTAACAGTAATAAACCAACTTCATACATAACATTTTTATGAAAAAAATTATTTTCCAAAAATAATGAAACAGAAGAATAGCATTTTTATAAATTTCTTTAATGTGGCTGAGCACGGTAGCTCAAGCCTGTAATCCCAGCACTTTGGGAGGCTGAGACGAGAGGATTGCCTGAGCCCGCGGGTTCAGGACCAGCCCAGGCAACATGGTGAGATCTCGTCTCTACAATAAATCAAAAAACAATTAGCTGGGCATGGCAGCATGCGCTTGTAGTTCTGGCTATTTGGAAGACTGAGGCAGAAGGATCGCTGGAGCCCAGCAGGTCGACGCTGGGGTGGCCATGAATATGCCACTGCACTTCAGCTTGGGCGACGGAGTGAGACTTCAACACACACACAAAAATAGTAAATAAAGCCGGGCTCGGTGGCTCAGCCTGTAATCCCGCGCCTTTGGGAGGCTGAGGTGAGTGGATTGCCTGAGCCCGCAGGTTCGAGACCCGCCTGGGCAGCGAGACCTCATCTCTACAATAAATCAAAAAATCAGCCGGGCGTGGTAGCGCATGCCTGTAATTCCGGCTACTCAGAAGGCTGAGGCGGAAGGATCGCCGGAGCCCAGCAGGTCGAGGCTGCGGTGGCCGGGAGCAGCCACTGCACTCCAGTCTGGGCGACAGAGTGAGACTCCGACTCAAAAAAAAAAATAGTAAATAAATAAATATATTTCTTTAATGTCTGGACCAGGTACAGGGGCTCAGAGCTATAAACCCAATACTTTTGAGAGGCCAAGGCAAGAGAACTGCCTGGGCAACTTGGCAAGACCTCATCTCTAAAATAAAAACCAAAAAATTAGCTGGGCACATGCCTATAGTCCCATCTACCTGGAAGGCTGAGGCAAAAAGATATCCTGAGCCCAGCACACTGAAGCTGCGATGGCTGTGAGCATGCCACTGCACTCCAGCCTGAGCAACAGAGTGAGACTCCAGCTCAAAAAGGAAAAAAAGATTTAACGTCTGGCTGAATAGAAAACAATTGGATTATTATATTTGCTTCTGCATTCAACCTGTAAAAATTTTTGTTATGGTTGAAGTTATGAAGAAAACCTAGCCTCACTCAAATATGTAGCTGGAGAATGGAGTATTTTAATAGCCTTCTCAGATTTAGAGATCTGCTGGACTCAGGCGATCCTTGTCTCAGCCTTACAGGTAGCTGGTACTATGGTGTGGTACGCCCAGCTTTTTATTTTTTTATTTTGTGGAGACGAGGTCTCATTATGTTACCCAAGCTGGTCTCAGTCTTCTGGGTTCCAGCGATCCTCCTGCTTCACCTCTCAAAGTGCTAGGATTACAAGCATGAGCCACCGTGCCTGGTCATCTCTACACTTTTTTTGGTGATACCTTTGGCAGCCTCTAAATCCCAAATAATTGTGGATTTTTTTTTTTTTTTTTTTTGAGTTGGAGTCTCACTCTGTCGCCCGGACTAGAGTGCAGTGGC